TCCTCTTCTTTTGAGTATAACGTTCTTGGATTGGAATTAAAAATATTGATCTGCATATTTATCTAAAAATATTTTAAAAGGTACATTATTTATGTAGCAAAAAAAATTATCATGTTATCTTTGAATTGACAGAACCTTTCAAGTGCAATGGTTTTCTTTTAAAAAAGACATAACCACAACTGCAATGGTGTTCGTCTTAATATCAAATAACCACTAGTGCAATAATTTTCTATTTCAGTTTACATAACTTCAAATGCAATGGTATTCTCTTTAACACGTTCCATTTAATGCGGATCACAGATGGTACACGTTAATCTTTTTCTTAAGACCACGTGTACCAACAATGTTACACTTACAATTTCACAGAATTATTTAATGTGCTAAAATATATTTTTATAATAAATTCAATTCTCTACTAAAATATTTCTATTAAAATGTTCATGCATTGTACAAAATGCCTTATACGACAAAACACATAAGTTTGTTTAATTATCACATTAAAAATAATTAATAATTACATGTAATGGTTGTTTTTGTTAATGCAAAATTAAATGGCTTGGATGATAGGACAGGAAAAAAAACTTGCTACGGAACGTGTTAATCTGAAGTAACCTCAAGTGCAATGGTTTACTTTTTAAATCGACATAACCTCTAGAGTGCAATGGTATTCTTTTTAAGTCGACATAACCTCTAGAGTGCAATGGTATTCTTTTTGAGTTTACATAATAATAAATACAATGGTTTTCTTTTTTGATCACAACCACAAGTGCAATGGTTTTCTTCTTAAGCTGTTTAAACATCAAGTGCAATGGTTTTCTTCTTAAGCTGTCCAACCATCAAGTGCAATTTTTTTCTTCTTAAGCTGAATTGCCGATTACTAAAAAAACAATATGAACTGAATTAATACAAATACAATATATATTACATTTATTATTGCATCACTAATAATTTCATTAATTAAATACTTTATACTGCACGTGGACTGCTTTGCGGTATTCAAAGTACATTGACAGGTAGCCATCTTGATTTTGTCCTACCAATGTGTTGTCTTTTGTCTAGATGGCGAAACATATTCTACTAGTCGATAAAACATAGTAACATTCACTTCCGCTAGATGGCAGCCTAAATTTACTAGTCGGTACAGTGAAGTAATATCTAGTACCGATAGATGGCGAAACATATGTTACCAGTCGGTAATAAAATACAGATTTCCCTACATATTTTTATTAACTTATTGAAAATTTAATGCAACCTAAATCATTTTTAAAAAGGATAAAAATAAGTGTATTTTAATAGTATTATAGCATTTACTTCTTCTTCAAACAAAATTATTATAATTACCTTTAAACATATTATTGTCTAGATTATTTGTAGTCAGAGCAGCTGCATTCTTTTCGCATAATAATTCACATGGAGATCTTTGCAAAGAAGATAATTATTAACAAATACATCAACTTTTCTTGTCAGTCAATGAACAAAACATATTTTCTATTACCTTGTACAAAACTTTGTAAAAGATTTTGTTCTATAATAGAGTTACCTTACATAATGTATTTGCCATTTGATTTCTTACTTCGTGATAACTAGGATATATTTCCTCTAGTATTCTTTTGACAGAATACTACTGCATATGATTTTCTCCCAGTGCAAGTATAATAAGAACAGTGCAATCAAAAATCTTTCATATTTGCAGTATTGTTGGATTCTTCTTATCAATCTTGATAATAATGAGTAGACACTTCCAGTCAAATTATTTACCTTTCCTGTGGAATGATTTTGTTTATCAATCAGTTTGATATAGGTTTGTTTTTTACAAATACAAGATTGCAATGCTTACCTTGTGACACATTCTTGTCTTGATTATTCTTTGTTACTGCAACTGCATTCTATTTACCATATATTATAGAATAAAACTCTTGTTCGGATGACATAATCAATACAAATCTTCTAATCGTTAGCCGTAAGAAAATGAA